CGTGCGAGAAACGCGATGGGCGGTAACCCTTCGCTTCCCTGTCCACGACACACCCCTTGAGTTCCTGCGAGCACCAACGTACTTGTGGAGCAAAAGGGCATGCCTATAGCAGGCTATCTTCGCGTACACACAGCGATAAGGCCGACTCTTGATCTTGTATCTGACCCATGTCCTATGAAGGAATCTCTCCTCGCGGAGGAGAAAGGTGCCAGCTGGCCTACGTCCGATGGGGGTATCGGTACCTCACGAAGGTGCCAGCTGGCCCGAAGAACATATCCCCAGTGTCGTTTTGAAGGAATGAGGAGTCGCCGGTGAGTTGCGCCGCCAACACCATCGTCTCCACCAAGGAGCGCCCTGTGCCGAGCGTGAGGGCGCGTATACACAGCGGGTCCGCGCGTGCATCGAACAGCTTCCAGTCGTCGGGGGGACCTTGTGTGTGTGCGCCGTGGACGACCTGCCCGGGGCTTGCCTGCTCGCCACAGCTCCGGAGGCACTTCCTTAAGAAAGTAAGCGATACGCCGCGGTCGCTGCACGGGAGTCGCGCGACATCGGGAGCTACAGACAGTGTGCTGGCAACTTCGCGGAGCTTCTCCAATAGACCCGCCATGTTCTCGGTAGAACAAGTTTCAGGAAGAGAGGAGCTCGGATTGAATTGTCCGCACTCGAAAGGACGATTGGAAAGGTGTTCTTATATCCACAGCGTAATGTCGAACGACCTGCAATGTGTTCGTCACCCTGCACACCTCGTCAAGGATTTAGTTCCCAAGGCCAAGAAGAGCTCGTGATCGGTTGTGATATTGCCCGCCCAGAATAAGGTGAGTTTGTTCTTGATAGAATGTGAGGCAACGCTTTTTATGCAGTTTTCGGTTCGTCCCCTGCAGTCAGGGTGCCCCTGCCCTAACTCCCCATCAAGCCACGTGTCTCTCCGTGAGGAGTTACTGTCCATAAGCTGGAAGGAAGTGAAGCTATATGTTTATATCTTCATAAAAAAAAATAGAGAAGTGAAAGATTTAAGTCTCACTGCAGTCTACATGATGCGCTTCGTTGTGAGGCGGCAACCGCCGTGAAAGTCAACCCGCTTCCGAGGAAGACAAGGCACGTTAAATGAGAACATACCCCGCTGGCGGGACTCAAAGTTGCAGAGTACGTGTCAAAAGTGAGGCCAAGTGCCGAAGGCGTCCAAGTCGAAGTGTCAATTCCTCAATTGAAAGCTTTCGATAATGTTTCGGGTGTGCGTTTTGGGTACTCTCGTCTGGCTGAGACCAGACGAGAGTTTAGCAGTTTACGAGCTGTCGTGTGGCCGCTGCGCGGCCGATCGCGATTTTCGACACGACAAGAATGGAATGCAGCTATTACAGAAAAATAAAAAGTCCTTAAAAAAGCGAAAAAAAATCGCGTCCGGAGGCTCTGGTCTCAGCCAGAGTAGCTTTTGGGATAAAGCACCCCCGCCCGTTATCCCGCCCTAAGCGCTCGCGCTCGATGGCCGCTCCATATTTTATAGGGTAAAGGTAGATGCGCTGGAGCTGGAGGTTCACGGAACATGACAGACGTCATCGCGACCGTCATGTGGGATTCACAGGTTCGATGAGACCGGCGAACAAGTTTTTTAATTCATTTCTTCATTTCTGATTTCATGCCAAGTCCATCGCCATCGATCACGCGATTTGTTGTGACACTATTTTCGTACTCTTAACTCTATCGTTCGCGCTCCGTTGACCAGTAACTCGCATTAAGAAAGAAGGCTGGCGCCTACAACCGTCAGAAACAATACTTCGCCTAACAGCGTAACAGGGCCAACAGTCTGTGAGGCTGCTATGATACTCTCTTGAATTCTTCACGTGTTTTGCTTGTGATACTTGTTTTGCGTCTTGCTGTTTCATCAGTCGACGAAGTGTGCAGATGGAATTAGCAGCGCATATTTTGTAAAGCAACTTTCCCTTTTCGCTTATAGGCACGCACCTCGTGATGTGGGATTCTAAGTTGGCGTTTGTCAACTTAGTTTGGGATACAACCCAACTACATCGTATGTTTATTTATTGGTTCGTACATACGCGATGCCGTAAGTTCCTCGGCTGATTCGATCACCAGGTGTATAAGGGCATCCGCCGATGTGACCTTGCGCCGAGAGGCATTCACGCACTTGACACCCTCAACGCCATCGTGTAACACTAAAGACACGCACACTCAAGGTAGGTCCCTCAGTGAGCTAATTGCTGGAAACAGCAGCTCAGGCAGTGGGGACCCGCTGCCGACGGTGAAACAACGGATCACTAAACTCGGATATAAGAACGATATATACCCGAGATGAGTGACACAGGCTGACCACCGAAGATGACATACAGGAATGACACTAGACTGTACGAACTAGTCGTAGTGTCAATTCCAGCACACCACCTCATCTGAGGTGGACCAGCTAGTGACACTCACCACCCTAGCTACTAGAGTTTACAGATAAATGTCAGGATGTTAACTCTAGTTAGCTAGTCAAGTCACAAGTGGCGTGATGAAAGTACAGGCTAGCAAAATAAATACTTGCTAAGCCTAGGAAAATGCTAGGACCATTCCGGTTCGCTAAAATTAATACTTTGCCAGCTAGTGGTGGGTGCTCTTGTAAATCTCGCCTGTCTGCATGTGATGGAGAATGCCAAAAGAAATCCTGCCTGTCGGTTTAGCTGTCTACACTGCGAACTGTAAAGGTCTCTTGCCATAAAAATGTTCGTCTCAATTGATAAAGCTGCCCGCTAGTGGTGAGAATTTCAGCAACATTCTTCTGCCCAAAACTACAGCAAGTGGTGGAGAATGATAACGCGAACACCGCCTGTCTGTTTAAAGAATCAGTAGTAGCCTTCATCACCAGAGTCGTAACCAGCATCTTCCTCGTAATAAGTGTCTTCATCATAAAAACCAGCACCACCAATCTCGTCGGAATCGTGGGCTCCTGCCTCCCAGGCAGCCCACTCCTCTGCGGTGTAGATGTCCTCGTCATTCTCGTACTCAACGGCAGGTTCATTCTCAAAAGAAACTCTGCCAACTGAAAAGCCATTTTGCGGTAAAAACTCTTCCCCAAGTGGGGCCTCGAAACCTCCGCCATAAGAATCCTGCTGAAAACCTGTGTCCAGCTCGGAATCCCGTTCCAATCGATCGGACGAAAAATGCGGAGCGGCCAAGTGGCCATCTTGCTCCTCTTCCTCCTCACAACTGCCGCTGGAATCATCGAAATACCCAAGTGGGTACTCCGATTCATCCTCATCCTCACTAGGCAAATACTCCTCATAACTGCGAATAACCCCAGAGCCCATATAGGGAGGCACAATGGGAGGTGCATGGACATAGTGAACTTCGGTTACCACAGGAGGGGCCTGTGGCACCATCTCGCTTGCCCTAGTGGCACTAGGCAAGGGTCTAGTGGTGGAAATCTGAGTGGAAACTGATTGGGACGCCAAAATAGCCGGCGCATCGCCCACTCCTACTTCGCAAAATCTTCCGCTCGAAATTCCAGAAACAGCGGTCTCGGCCGAGACACCACCAACTTGTGGCTCACCAGCCACCAAGATGTTCAAAACTATCGGAGAATTCTCGGTCGAAACTGCCGAAATCTGAGCCGCCTCACGGAAATGCGAAATAGCTAAATGCATAGAAGTGCACAAAGAGATGAGCTGTGATCTTTTGAGAGTCGAGACTCTCGCAAATCCAGAGTCAACCGATTCCAAAAGAGCTAGGAGCTCCATACTCGAAGAAATCTGCTGCGAATCCATCAAAGAAACTGAGATCCAATAATGAAGTAACGGAACAAAAATCGTAGGAGTCCACCTCGTCGAAATCACGTAAAGCCGTAAGCAGCCGCCTCCAGAAAATACGCAGAATCTGCTCTAAAGCGTCCCACAAGGCGTGGAGACGCTCAACCGAAAGATAGGGCGGAAATAAAATAAAATTCTACGCTAAAATTCAGTTCACGCGAACGTGAGAGGGACCATAACCTGCTGGAAACAGCAACTCAGGCAGTGGGGACCCGCTGCCGACGGTGAAACAACGGATCACTAAACTCGGATATAAGAACGATATATACCCGAGATGAGTGACACAGGCTGACCACCAAAGATGACATACAGGAATGACACTAGACTGTACGAACTAGTCGTAGTGTCAATTCCAGCAGGTATGCCCGTTGTGAGGTCACAACTCTTTTAAGAGGGGAGATCTGTCAGGGTTATGACCGATGACACATGTGTCATACATGTCATACATGTCATACGTGTCGTACCCGTCATACATGTCATACCATGTCATGTCATGTCATGTCGAGTCATGTCATATATTATAATGACAGACAGTCGTCAGTACGGTCGACTGTGACTGTACATGTCATCGAGATGATAAATCACATCATCTGTCATTTATTCAAGGTAAGACTTGAATGACACATGTCATCGAGAGGCCGTATGTCGGACTCGAGAATGGCGAAGCAAGATGCTATCTTGAAGTACCGAATGGTTCGGAGAAGAATGCATCTTCGCTTCTAGCATGTTCTGAACAAGCATGCGGAGTATCATATGGCGAACGCATTATTCGTTCAGCCGATACTAGTCGTTCAACCAATGCCTTGGGTTCACAACCCAATAGCGGTGCCATCTATGAGATGGGAGGCATTCGGTATAGATGAGCGTAGCGTTGTGCTACAGCAGATCTTCGTCCGAAGTCTGCACTCATCACCCGCTCATAAGTTGCACGCGTGTTACAGTTCAATAACACCGCGCTATCTATCATATCATATTATATCTTAAGGCTCGCTTGTGCGTCCTTATCAGTCATGGTGGATACAATCGCGCCGCACAGGCCGCGCGCCCCCAACAGTCGCGCCGCACAAAGCCGCGCGATGCCCCCTTGAGCGCACCGCAACGGCAGATTGGGGGAAAGTCGTATCCTTCGTGTTTCACTCTTCGCCGCCTACGTGGCACGGTGGGGATTCAGTACTCTGTACCGCACCAGAATCGCCATCAATAGCCTGAGTAGCTCAAACGGCAGAGCGCTCGCCCGGCATGCGAGAGGTCCGGGGATCGATTCGCCCGGCCTGGCTCACATTTTTCGGGCTTCTGGTCTAGCGGTACAGTTTCCGTTTCCCCATGAGAGTGCGGAACCAGTAGGTGTTCCAGATGCAGCCGCGGCACGCACGGAGCGGAGGGACTCCACCATTGGTCGAGGGCTTCGCCGGCTGGACGCCATCGCTGGAAGCACGTAGTTTGGAATGGTAAAAAATGCGTAAAAGCGGTAGGGCACTTGCGTAGCCCGACTCTAGGATGGTTTGACGATAAATGTTTGTCGCGGCCGCGATCGCTAACCGCGGTGGCCGAAGACGGAATGTGGTGGTTGTCGTGAGGACGAAACAACTGCCTAGACGGCGTTGATGTGCAAGGAGGGCTCGACGCGCTCCAAGGATCAAAAGTACCCAAACCGAACACCCACAAGTGGTGGCCGATAACCGCTCACAGGAACTGCGACAAGATATACGATATATATAAGGATATATATATATATGTCGGAAATAATAATAAAACATTTACGCTAGCAAAGGGGACAAAGTCCTGAGAGTGCGGTATCCCTGCAAAGCAGGCTAGTGAAAACACCAGGGGCTACTCCCTCTGCTATAGCGCGCCCACAAAGGGGCTCAACCCACTTTTCAGCAGGGTGACATCTAGAGAAAAAGCTAGGTGCTAAGCAAAAAACTCTAGAAGATGGAGAAGCAGCCATGGCCGGGTGAGTGGAGGGGTGGCTATATGTCGGGTGCTAAGGAGCAGAACATGTACGCAGGGGCGGATGTTCTCGGATACTAAGATGATATAAAATACTTAGTTGAGTGTTTTATGGCACACTGACAACTGTGACAACGGACACTGGTGACACCTCGGGCCGAGGGGTGATAGACAGGAGACCCACTGTGCCCCTTATATGTCTTGCCCCCCCCTTACAGTGGGGGGGGCAAGATTGGGTTCCCCGTGAACGGTATCGAATCGAGCTTTCGGTGTTTCGTTGAAATGGTCGGCAGAGCCAGGTGGCGTCCGATTGATGCCGCGTTACACACTGAGCGTGTCATCCCCTTAGTTTATTTCTATTCCCCTTGCGTCATAGAATTAACAGTTACAGTACAGTATGCATCCATTCTTCCATATCATCCACCACGAAACGAAAGGGCACGAAATTATTTTGGTGGTGTTTCCATTCCTTTCCTGCAACAGCTGGCGTGGGGGTAGGTGTAGTAAAGTTCTGAATTGCGAGGTATTCAGACCTGTGCGACAGTCTTGAATCAAAAGACCTTCGTGAACGCTAAAATACTGTAAAAAGTGCTTACACATATCACCTCTCAAACTCTCTGAACCCTTCGTCGACTTTAGAGACATGAGCAGAATTCCCTTGACAACATATGTCGCCTAAATAGTGGTTCTATAATTACAACTGCGATAATTTTTTAAGATCTGCACACAGTGACCTCGCAATGTCCACGCGAAGCGCTTCCAAGTTTTTGCCAAGTAGCCGCTCCGTCTCTCCGCCGAAAAAAGTTTCCGAGCAACCATGGTACTTTTTAGGAAGCATGCAGGTAACGAGATTCCTTTCAAAATTTTATGCCTGTAGTGATTTTTTGACATGTTTCATTCGTTTAACTTTATTATAAGCATATACACGCCAAGTTAAGGCCTGGACAGGTTGCTCTCAGTGCCCACAAAACTTGACAACATCAACGAAGGGCGAAACAAAGCCTCTCACTGTAGACTGCCTATGATGTATACGAAAATATACCTCAGCTGCTACACTCAGATATGAAGTCGCATGAATTCGACGGCGCGCTTGCCAGTTTTCCTTGGGATTAATGCGCACTCTCTCACAGGAGGAAGCTGAAGTTGCTGCCCAAACCAACAACGTGCAAGCTATGGAAGATATGATAAAGAAGAATCCCAATGCTAAGCTCGACAAACTTCTTGCAATTGCCACAATATATAACAGCGTGCCTCTGGTGAATCACTTGATAGGCAAGCTGACTACTCATGACTTAGATTGCAAAAAGTTTACTTCCGTCGGTGACTTGATGACTACGCTCCTCGACCTGGCCAGCCAAAAGAATAATCTCGACGTCGCCCAAATTATAACCGAAAATGGTGCTAATATGAAGGTAGCGGTGGAATTTCGACCCGTCAGCTCATTATTAACATGTCTTTCTAAACCTGAAATTGTGCTTGTGAAGCTCCACTGTCGTCCTATTTTGAGCACCGAGAATCACTTAAAATCTGCTGGTTTGACTTGACAGGATGATAAACCCTTGACGGCAGCAGTACGGGAGGGTCACGTCGATATGGTGAGGCTGCTTTTGAACAATGGAACCGATATTGCTGGGCGCGGTGGCTGGGTTAAGTACAAACCATTAGTGGCGGCCGCTACTAAGGGTCACAAGGTGAGCTTAACGTTCTCGATGTGCAACTGCACATTTCACTTGAACTGCCCAACTCACGTTCCGGCCAGATAACGTTCTCCATTCGACCGTCTGAAGTAGCCGCTGAACAACTCACCTCCAGCACCCAGTCCCCGTTTGTCTTCTGACGTTTGATAACGTTTGTTAAAGAGACCTATCAGTTGGAGGGTTGGCCACTTCACCCGGCGCCGGTCACGGCAACCAATGCCGTTGCGGTCACTCGAAACGCGCCACGCACACGACATACCAAGAGGCACTCATGTTTTATTGCTGTAACGGCAGCGTGCTTGAACCCCTCGTGTTGTCCTCTCCCCCCGATGCTTCCTGTTCGGAACGAACTCTCAGGCTGGGGTCTCATCAAAGAGGGCACGACGTGTCCACACCTCTGTGAAGCCGGGGCAAACTTCACGGGAGCATGAAAGCAAGGCCTTTCGACGGGCTAGGGTTGATTACAATATGTTTGCTGGGAATGTCTGCTTGGGGCATAGAGCTGAAACGCAAGACAGGCCTCTCTGTAGGACTGTTGGAAACGAAAACGTCGTTGCTCATTAGATTTTAAGCGGTTCCTGTGCAATATTTCGAAACCTGTGGGTCGGATGAATGCCGCTATTGACTTGGAATGGCTTGGTGTGCGCTCGTGTGAGCCCTCTCGCCGCTCTCTTGTTTCAAAAGGAGGTGGTTCAACTTCTCGTGGAAAGCGGGGCGGATCTCAACGACGGTGCGCCTCTTGCAGCCAGCGCGAGAAAAGGGCACTTGGAAGTGGCGAAGCTCCTCATGAGCAGTGGAGCTGACATCAACTTCGGGCAACCTCTTGCGGAAGCATCCCGTGAGGGTCACATTGATGTTGCAAAACACCTAATGAATGAGAAGGCCGATATTAATCACGGAAACCCTCTTTCTGCGGCAGCGAAGAAGGGTCATATTGAGGTGGCTCGGATGCTGTTGAAATCTATGCGCGGAGCCAATGCTCAGTTTGATTGAGGCAGACGGGGAATTCTAGTTCCAGAACCATCAACTGTCAGGTTCTGGTCTCGTTGGGACCGAGGTCGCCATTCGCTGTGATGAGAGCAGACTGTGCCCCCACGGCTCTTCTTCGTCAAGAAATTGATATAGCATAGCAGCTGCTGTTTGCAGAGCTTCTCTTCGTGAACAGTAGCATTTTTGTGGGAGCAAGCGATAATCACTCTTGAAAGGAAGGTGATAGATACACATATATAGGTGCCTGCACTTTTCGTAGCTCTCTTTATTGCAGCTGAGTTGTCCTGCAGGAGAGCATAAAAGCCGTTTGGGTGCAGTTTACGAGCTGCTTAGATAGTATTGTTTATGTAAAAAGTAGAAAGTTCGTTAGCAGTGGGTTCTAAAGCATAGAGATATGTCAATATCGTACTTCTTCAATTCCTGAATGCATGGTGCCCCTATTTTTTAATGTTGCGTTCCCATTGGCGAATGCCTGAATAGTGAGTGAATATTTACTTTTTCAGTGGATTCTGTGTCCATCTCTGTCTCTCACGATAGCGCCCGCATTGACATGACACCGCTCTTGAATTCCTTAACTCAAGCTTAGTGCTTTGCAGTCGAATATATGCATATTGTCCATGTCCAATATTTTTGCTAAACTAAATCCGTCTTCAAGCATGAGAACCCCTTGGCAGTTTTGTATTTGGGTACATCAGTCAAACCCAAAGCGCATTGTGTAGACAACGGTCCGTAAATTTGCGAGTGCTTTTGTTCGGTTAGATAGAGCTCACGATCCCCCTCAGGGCCATGTTTCGGACGTCGATAGCTGTCGGCTCTCTACGATTAAACGGCCTACTTGGTGGTGGTTACCGGTCTACATTATTGATTGTAAATTTCAGGTAAAAACCGTGTGAATCTAAATGAAAACAGCAAACGTTAAGATTAAATCATTCTCCCCTCATAGGCATCCAAATAGTGATAAAATGATTCAATATTACGTCATACACGCAACATATTCAATCAACAAAGTGCTGAATAAATAATTCCGATCTCTACCCCGCGTTTGAAAACAAAGCATACAGCTGGGGCATACAGGCATGATGACACAAGCTGGGACATACGCAAGGGGCATACTTCGGAGGCATACAGGGCATTCATCGCTGAGGAATATTGGGGGCATACTGTGTCGGGGCATGCATACGCGGGGCATGGAGAAGGGGACATACTACTACTGTTTGGCCGTGCAGTGTCCTCCTGCGCTTGTGAGGGGGAATGGAAACACCGGCGAAGAAACTCTCGGACGTTTCCCTTTCTTCTGCGGAGGAGATGGACACCACCCCTGGGGCTGTGGGGCCTCCCGCTCAGAAGCATCTGCACACACGCAATTACTTTATATAGGTGGGACAAACGGATGCGGCGGATCCATGTGGGGGTATAAAACCTGGGCCAGACTGCATGAACATGGGGCGTACGGAGAAAGTGGGGCATACATATATGTTCAAGGAGACAAAATGCATGTGCACGGGATAACCCGGCATACTGGTTCGGCACTGGGTACTGGTGGGGTGGCAGCCGCACGAGCCCTTTTTTTCTGTGGGAGGCACCGTAGCGGCGCGGCCAGGCTGATTAGGAGGGCCAGCAGCTGCAGGAGAAAGAAGCGA